TGCTCAAGCGACGGAGTAAAAGATTTCGTCTGCTTGTTTCTGAGTCTGATTGGATTCGTGAGGCAGGCAGACTAGAATTAGATGCGTTAGTTTTAGCTGACACTTCATGTTCTACCTGTGGTGGCAGCAGTAGCGGCGGCACGATATTCGCATGTGTAGGTCTCTTTCGGCATCCATGTGATTAATTGTACCTCGCCTGTCCTTACAATTCACTTTAGGTCAGCGCAAAGGCCCGTGCCGTAAACGCCATCAATCTTCTTTTCCTACGGGCAAAATAATATATTTTCCTAAAACCCCTGCAGATATGACCAATTTTTTTAGCAGTAAAAATTAAACGAAAGCCATAGCAGATTTTATATCAGATCTGTATTTAAAAATAACATTTTATGACTTTTCCTAATGCCATTATTATTATTAACCATCTCTCGTTGGTTGGGTGCAATGGTACTTGAAATGCACCAGAACATGCTACTATCAAACATTATAAGTAGCTGTCGAGGACAGTATCACAAAAAGTAAAAATTTCGGACTTGAAAAATGTTCAACCTATTTAAAACATTTTAGAGAGTGGATTAGGATTTTAGGGTATAATATTGAAACTCAACGCTGTGGATACTATCACTGAAGTCAATATTCCCATTCGACGGGACATCATGACGTCCACATCACTGCCTCCATTTAATCACCATGTCTACATCCCTATTTGATGAATAGGCTTTAATAGCCTCCACAGAACAGTGTTAGGATGCATTTTACAGTAGTATTGGTGGAGAGGGAGGTCTGAGTGGTTATAGGCACTGAGTGAACACCACGACATCACAGTGGAGACTAAAACCGTCGAGGAAGAAGAGCTCGCGCGTTCAGCCATATTAAGAACTAATACTACTTTGCTACGCTTCAGTCAGAACGATTAACTACTCCTTAATCGAAGTGATAGGTTCTCCATCAAAACAGCTGTCAGTAAACCTTGATAGGTTAGTACTTTTACCTTGACGTTGAGAAAACGGTGGAAATAACAAAATCGCACACAAAAGTCAAGCAGTAATTTGTGCCCTCGAAATAGATCATAATAATTTGAAAGATTTGTAATTATTAGTATTAATGCAGAGCGAATGTAAAAACTATGGGAGTGAACAGAATTCCATCTCTTCAATGAGGAAATCGGAAGAGGGGATAGTGGAAAGTGATTAGACGACTATCAAGTCATCAAATCATCATCATCTTGGCCCTTGTTATTATCATGGCCACAAACTGATCTCCCTGGTCCGATTGGTGGAGGGGACACTTCATCTTGTGATGGATGCTACACCTCGGTGATTTTGATGAATTTACCGCCTCGTCCTCTTTAGTGAACCACATTGGAAGGAGTAGCCATCTCTTCACTGCTCAAAGTTAAAAAAACACTCTAAAAAAATCCATTTTATTTGGATTTCGCTAACCACAATACGATTTGCTAAAAGCCGAATAAATTGACAAAGCGTACAAACTAAGCTGGCCTACATGCAACATTTGTTTCATCTTGCCACCATGTTCACACTTCCGCACCGTCTTGTAGTCAATGCGGCTCTCGATTAGCCACTAGAACTTGGTAAGAGAATCCTGCGATCCAAGACTATTCACATTTGATAAAGTAGGGATTAAATATCAACTGTGGATTCAGTGGTTGATTGACTTTTTGTGGAGCCCAGGTTTGCGGTTGATTGACAAAAGTGGATGTGAGTCCAACATCCCTCCTGGTATGAGTTGCCGCATTTTCATCCACGGCCTATTCCTTCTTCTGTGGCATTTAGATTTACATCAAGCACCGATTTCGAGATCGTTATTCATATTGGATCTGGTTCGCCTGCCTTCGCCACCGTCTTAGGACCCTGAGCTCTCCCTGAAGACCCAATGAGGCAACTAAGCATAGGAGGCGCATTCTTGGTGCACAGGAGGCTATACTCATGATCAGAAGGCTGTAATCCACAAATGTGAAAGTAAAATTACAAAAATCTTTTTATCAGGAAAGAATGTTTGGAACAACATCACTTCCTGAAGTTATAGGAAGCCTGTAGATTGAGGCATGACTTAAAAATATCATTTGAAGTTTAATTTTCTATTCACAATATATTATCCAAACATTTCCGAGAGTAGCCATCAAAACTCATTATCTGTAAGATAAGCACGAATTTTCTACAGTTCTCTCACCCCCTTTAGAAGTGATTGAGCGTGGCATGACAATTTTCTCAAACATCACATAATGTCTTGAAATATCAAGAACATCGTGCTGTCTATGGTATGTAAAAGCATTCTCACAAGTGGGAAAAAATTAGTGCTACTTAAATTCTTTTTTCCATCGCTCCCGCGCCGCGTAGCCGGTTTAATTGCCCAATCAACGCACGCGTTTAGCGCCCTGCATTAATTGGCTCGTAACGTTAACGGCCCTACCGGTTGACCCCACCTTTAGCGACCGTGGCCTCCACTTTATTCGTTCGGTTGTGCCCATTGAAATCTTCGTACTTAGTTTCGTGAAGTTGTGATAATTCAGTGTTGGTGACATATTTGTAACTTTGCTTAGTATTAAAACCGTAAGTCATAATACTCGGTAGTAATATACATATTCGACATAAGAAAAGGATTGGAGCTACCGGTATGAGTCGGAGGCGAGGCCGCCCGACGAAGCTATAATGCCAGAGCCCTTAAGTGGCCCGTCACCAAATCTGTGCGTAAAATAAAAGATTGACGCCAATCCATATTCTATGACATCGCATTTTGATGTGTAAATGAGGGGAATATAAACATTCGGAATTATCGGGTCGTTTTATAGTTAAAGAGCTGATAGTACTAAGGAAAATGAAGACGTTAACGATGCCAATTAAGCAGGCCTTTTTAGATTTGCATTAATTACAAGTGTTTGCTGTTGATAACAAGTTATGCTTTGAAATGCACAAAAACATGGGGGAAAAACCCAAAATTCACCAACAATTTTGTTTATTCTCAACGAATTACCTCACATTGTTATTTTTAGTCAATAAACAAACACAGAATTTAGTGTTTGAATACCAACTTTTGACCTGAGAAACCCAGACCCCTTAAATTGCGTAAATACTAGTGGAAGCATTACATTACAGACGGTTTAGACCATCTTTACTGAATTAGTCCTAGTAACAATTTATTCGTGCTTAGACGTGCAAAATTTTCTCAATTGTACGATTGGTATCCAGTACTGAGTTATTTTGTAAACAAACTGAAGTACAAATGATTCTTGAATTGGAATATCCACTTTTCTCGTAGGCAATCTGTTAAATTGTTTTTGCCGTATTTTGCATAAATGAAACATCTCTAAGCACTGATCTGTAAAATAATCATTAGTCCGCCATACTTATGATTTCATTTTCGGCACACTACTCTAGAGTAATTTGTTTGTCCAAATTTTCCGTAAATTACAAGAGTTTTGGAAAGCGTGATAACTTTACTAACAAAAATACCAATCATACATACTGGCAAGGGATTACTGTCACGAATTTGATACATTTTAGAAAAACCTTTTGTCGTTTCCGATTCACAATAACAAAAAGGTTCCCATATCCAATTGACAATTTCGGGTGCTTTTCTTTTTCGATAGTTAACTAGAACCACCCTGTTGATTGCGTGATAAAAATGACATTATCATAGACTCGACTATTCCCAAATCACCCGACTAGCTTAAACAGGACGCAAGTCAATACTTCAGTAATTTTGGGAAATAATCATTGTATTTTTTCAGGAGTGCAGACTCAAGTTACCACAAACTATGTGATGCCCCGATTGCTTCTGGAGAGGTTTTATTATCAAAGCTTAGGCAATACAAACAGATCCAAATTGATGCTATATATAGATACACCGCAATAGGAGCCCTCAACGTAATCTAAGTGGATTTACTACGGAATAACGTGGGTCGGCTTAACGAAGCAAACATCAACGATTTCATGATCTTATGCAATCACAAATAAAGCCAAAGGCGTCGTTAGCAAACAGCTATAGTTGATATTCGATACCCTAAACCACCAACACCAAATTCGAATCAAACCAATGACGTGTGGATCTGATCAAGTCAGGCGCGGAGAAGTATAAAAATTGAGTCGGTCTACTGTACATCTGGGAGTACATAAGGTGAGAGAATGAAATGAAAGGCGAGGAAGCACTTCCAAGCAATGAGGTGGCGATGGCACTGCTGATAATTTGTCAGCTGGAAGCACGTCGCATTCATCTTGTAGCCAAGGTAGTCGCCAGGGAGATGATTATGATAAGAAGAATTAATGCGACCACAACTCCGATGATTATTTTTTTCTAAAAAGATAAGGAATAAAGTAAAACATGAAGGAATGTGACAGGGGTGATTGAGAACAAAACTTTAGCTTTCGATCTCAACAGCAGCACTCGGATAAGGGATTTATTGACACGTTCGTTACTTGTGGCTCTAGAAAAGTTCGACCATCACAATTCAAACATTTTATTGCCGAATGGAACTGGGTGTTACTGGCGTTATTGTTTATTTCAAGTTGTGATCCAAATCTACGGACCGAAAATATTCTGCACCTATTTCACTATTCTTAACCCAGTCAATTTGAATGCGATGTAAAGTGATAAGGACCACGTCGTGCATTCGCAAAGCCAAGCTTAGATGAGGTGAAGGTGTCACATATATGTGACGCAAGGAGCAAACATGATGAGCTCACTACTGTCTAGACTAAGGATCCTTTAAGATGAGCTAATGGAGATACTATTTCACACTTTAATTATTCTTAAAATGACACGAATTTTAATCGCTTTCCTTAAATTTTCACCCATTCTGTAAGTAAGCATTACACAAAGCCGGAACACCCATTCAATCCTCCATGTAAGTGCGTAGTGTCACGAGACAATACTTCTCAGCATGAATAGATGACCACCACGGGACTATTTGCGTAGATGTCATGACAACCGTTATGCGCTACAGTGAGTTGCCAATGGAAAAGGAGGAAATGCCGCGAGTTGCCGTGGTATTCTACAAATACCTTCGTGTGTGAGTGTAAGAGAAGACTTTCGCCTAACTAAGTAATACATTTGATGGCTCGTGTACGCCTCAACAATCATGTGAGCCGAAGATCAAGGCTTTGAGACAATCTACGCATATTTCGAGATCCATGATGAGGCACATGCTAACACGTGCACACATCACTAGAGCTCCAAACAGAACACAGGGCTTGTTTAGAATACTAAGAGGAGGTCAGATATGTACCCAGTTAAGTATAAATTCGCAGGTTTTTGCAAAGACAATGGAGCCGCAGCTTTGTCAACACTGCCAATGACAGTTTGAGTTAGATAACAAATACGAATTTGTTTGCTCAGACCAGGTGTGTGCATGCGTGTACGGACAGCTCAAAGTCCAAGCTACCTTAAAGTTTTTTGACAAATAACCTACACAGGTGAGAAGTATCATCAAGGATACTACAAACGCGGTTGATGCAGGTGATATTCTCAAGAGTATTACCAGCTTTTGTTGAGGTAAATGACTAATTGCGGCAATACGTAAGCGTATCTACTCATGTGATTACGCAGGTATTGGAGTCAACTGTCGAAGCGCAAAATCCATTTTTACAATGAAATGTCAAAGAACAGCATCTATTCATTTCAAAAAAGTGGTTTAGCTATCTTTGCTTGACACATGTTACTTCAACGCAAAAGGGGCGTATCAACCATGAGGCTGACCCACGTACTGCGTTAGAGCTGGGGTGGGAAAGAGAGGTGAAAACTACCCACACGGTACTATCATATTCAAAAAAAAACATTTCGCAAAAGGTAAAAAAATCAGTTATTTGGCTACGTGAGTTCCACTTGATAAAAACGAAAATCAGTTGGGAAGAAATCCCAAATCTCACCATTCTTTGGTGCTATGAAACAAATGCATGCCGCTTTTACAGTCATTTAATGAATTGCACTAAATTTTTTGGATATTGCTTCAGTCACACTGTAAAATTATAGCTCATAAGCACATACTTCTTACCAGTTAAAACCTTTTTGCAACTTATAGAATGACCGAAAAGTGTAAGACACAATAGTTGACAGTGAATGCGTGCTAACTTGGCTCACACGCATACATTAGGGTTCTTGTATGCGTGACTACTAGCAGAAGGAAATACCTGTGTTGGAAGCCCTCTCTTGCTTTACTTAAAAACAATAATTAAATATCGCAATTAACACCAACCTTTTGGCTGGATAATTTGGGTAGATAGAGAGGTGGTGAGTATAAATGGGTTTGTATATACTTAAAAGCCATAGATTGTGGGAGCCTGGAAGCAACATTATGACCTCAGATTATAAGCCCACATCTATGAAAGCAGGTAGATGTGGACTCTTAAACCTTGTTGGTTTAGATTAACTTAATAAGCTGTGACTATCGGAGCGGATCTCATCTTGAAATCGATTGGGCGAAGCCAAGGTCATCGATTAACCAATAGCTGCGAAGGAAGCTGTGATGGGGCCAGGGCATACAAATCAGCTGGGTTAAAAAAAAATAAAAAGGCAATTTTTTTGCTTGAAATGTCAGAAGAATCATACGATTTTCTCACCTGTCAAGGTTGGAACCACTTATGAGATGGAGTAGGCAGAAGTGATATGGAGCCGTGTGGGCGGCAGCGTAAGATAAAGAACAGCCTTAGGCCCATTTGCAAAAGGTTAAATTTCTGGTGCTTACAAAACCATGGGAACTTTTGAAATCCTACCATAGTAAGATAGGCTAGATTTCTCACAGATAACGGAACCATTACCTCTACATGGGTTTTAAAAAAGTAACATTGCGTAATTTCACATGTAGGCACGAAGAAAGCAAGATAAAACCAGTTTAGTGAGCTAGAAATGCCGCTTTTGTAGCCGCTATGAAGCAAACACTTTGAGTGCTGCTGTATGGAGTGGGCCATATTGCTTCATAAACGTTTGTAGTTGACCTGATGTGAATTGGTCTTCGGCTAATAGCCCCCTTAACTTACTGAATTATACTGGTATAAGACGGTTGTTGGCGTCGTTCGGGGCTTGACTGCCAAGTTAAGGGGCAACAAAGGACTTGTTTTTGCGGTACAAGTCGCCTTTGAAGTGCTCTTGCCTTGTAAATGCCTTCCGACCAAGGCTGCTAGGCTCAGCGTGTTTGGTGTGCGATTGAAAAAAATTTCAGTTGCTGCCAGAGTGCTCACCGCTCTTTTAGACGAAATCAACATTTCACTTGATTGATTGCCAGGTTTTGAAATAGTCGAGGCACGAAGGAAATACCACAAACTTAGGAGGTGTAATATAAAGCCTGTGAAATCACAGTACATTTTCCCCCAATAAAGAGGCAAAGATTTCTAGACGAAATCTTGGAAAAAAAATTGATTTAAAAATCTCCAAATCGTGCAAGATTTGGTTTTGGAAAAATGACACCAATGAACTGACTACGCATTCCGTTTGTAGACAAATCAATGTTTGATGCATACGAAAGGGTTTCCAAATACCTTCAGTAGTGAGGCACTTTTAAGGCCACGTTGCTGAAATATTTCAGTAGTATGGCCACAGCAACATGGACTGCGAAAGCACGCAGTACAGAGTAGTAGATGAAAGCGAGCAAACAAGAGAGCGAAAGAGAGAGGGAGGAGAGAAAGAGCAACAGAGAGTGTGCACACGTCGAGCCAGAATTGGATCGCATTCACACAGAGACAAAAGAAGGGGCACACATTAACAAAAGAAACGAACAAGCGAAATACTTCGCGCATAGCGACACATAGAGAGGAGGGCTTGCCTTCGCATGAAAAAGGGATACTGAAAGAGCACGCAAAATAATATCACCCAATTGCGGAGATTATTTGGGGGAAGGTTAGAATGAGCAGTTTCAGGACGAGGGACTCACCTTTCGCGATTTCTTCTGGTAAATGACCGCCTTCTCGACGTCTGTTTTTGCCGTCTCAATGTAGTCTTTCGCCTGGTCTACATTATACTCAATCTTGTCAATTGTTTCTTGCTGTTAATAGATAAAAAGTCGCGTAAAAGACTACATTTGACGTGGTATTGTTGCGATTTGTTTGTAGCTTAATTATAGCTAAAGACTTTTTAAGATTAATTTGCAGAAAAAATTTCCATTTCTAAGGAGTTTAGTTATAGAAGTGAGTTAAGTTAAACATCATTTTAACATCACACGGAAAAACGGACAAAAAATGCCACTGCTAGCAGTGATAGATAAAAGTAGACATACCTGTGAATCTACAAGAGTTGCCAGGTCCTGGAACATGTCGTGCAACTCCTTGATACTCTGTTCCAGTTTAATGATGTCCTGATGCCTTGCTTCGATCTCAGAGAGAGTCTGCCTGGCCAATTGTGTGTCCGCCAGAATCTGATAGACAAGCCAAGTTTCATTGGGACATTGAGTATATTAAAGTAGAAATCACATCAAATTAGTAGGAAATGTAAAGTATCAAAAGAACGATAGTAAAGATGGCTATTTTTAAACAGTTCATCATTAATCCATCTACTCCGGTGAATAGGTCGTATCAACAGGAAGGCTAGAGTTTGTGGAACTTACACTTTGCGTAAAAATCTGTGGATTTCCAGACTCTAGCATGTCTTCCAACTCCTCATCTGTTATGTTGCGATCGGCTGGAAGGGAAAGTACGTAAAGTTTGAGGTTGCGGCTAAAATTAGGCGAAAATTGTACATTTGTGCGGAGAAATAAAATATTGCGAGAGTTTTCAAACAAGACTGCCTATAATTTAATTGGAAAATGAATGGCTCAAAGGTAAGGATCAAAATTTGAATGTCACTGGCACATTCTGATGAAAAAGAACACAAATTAGAACAGTCAAAAGGTAAATTTCGCCATTTGCTGATCTTCCTTTGTTGCAAATGTCGTCACAGGTACAAAAATGGTGTAAAAAGCAAACGATTGGCAGATAAATACACGTTTAGGTCAGAGAATTCTGCATTTGTAAAATCTACTCTTCTCCCGACTTAAACACGCACAACACGTAGACACAAAGGATTGACGAATAATGGACGACAACGAAGACCACGAAAAAACCACCAAGAACAAAGCATGGGGCATGCAGTGGGACGGAGAGAAGGACGCCTTACCAACCGCAAGTTGCCTCCTGAGGTAGTCTTTTGACCGGCTTACGTAGCTCGACTGCCACTTGTTGTAGTCCGCTATCAGCTCGGTCAGAGAGGTGGATATGTGTCGTATCTACACAAAAGGCGTTATTACCACTAAAGATGTACGTGTTTGGGGATGGATAAGGAAGAAGGACGTACATATTCAACAAAGCTGCACGATAAATGATGATTTTGTATTTCAAATTGAAGCATAGGAATGGTGGTTTTTAGGCAATTAACTTTTGTAAACCCCATTCAGCAGACTAAAGTGTACCATTTGGAGGAGCTAAGGAAGATCTTTAACTAAGCGAAACCGCCAAAGAAACCCAAACCACTGTAAGATGGTCTCCTGGTGTTAATGAAGCCAATTTGAAAACTATTAGGGAGTTTGAAAGTAATCCGTTTACACCAAAATGAGGGAAGAAAGCACCTCCTTATGAAGGGATTGCAGTACCTTAAATAGAAACTAGCACCAGTTGAGAAAATTTACATCCAATTCCATCGAGAGAGTGTCCACTGAAAATTCTGGCAATGGTCTGCTTAGACTTAATTCAGTCAGGAAGAAATACATCCAAGTAGTCATATACACAGTGGACTTTGTTAGGGGTTAGTAAAATTAAGCGTTATTAATCCTTTAAATAACGACGACGGATGACAAAACTGTTCAAGAGTCATGCTTTAACCTAAAGACGGCTCGCAGTATTATGATTAAAAGGTGCCAAAAACACAAAATATTTGGCGTAAGACCATATTTTTGTTAGAAATCCTTCTGGTTTTTGATTTATACGAAGGCCGCAAAGTTCTGCAGTCTTATTGCTCTTTGTTCAAGGGGCAGGAATTGAGGACTACTACATTTCACGAATTAAACAAAAAGACAGAGTATCTCATTCATCACGACAGCTCACTCTACAAAAGTACATAATTAGCGCGGTATTGAAAAACCAGATAGTAAATGTATCAGAGTCTAAGGATCTAAGTGTGAAATCAGTCAAGTGAGACACGCTTTCAGAAAAAGGTTTAGGCCCTCCCATTTTCGGAGATGGGCTATACGTTAAAGGTTAGGGATTGAGCTCAATACAATGGCGAGCAGTGAAATAAAGGCAACATGGAGAGAGGGGGCATTAGTTGAGGAAAAGTCAAGCTGGTGAGCACACACACGCCCTACCAATGGCCATTTGACGAAGGATGCGTTTCTTATTGGCATCTCGGTAGTCCGTCTGAGCCTTACTGTAATTCTGCATAACTTCCACGAATCGACGACCTATGGTCTGATGCTACAGAAAAGGAGGCGCAAAACGTGACGTAGGGAGAACGCGTAATGAGGAAGGGATAAAAAAGAGACAGAAAAACAAAAATATACAAAAAATTAAGAAACCTACTTGACACCGTTTGATTCGAATGTCAGCGACATCTCCACCAGCCTTCTCCTCCTGCTGGATGGATAGATCAAGTTCTGGAATGGAGCGTTAAAAATACGAGGCAAGGACATTTGGAATATTTAACATTTTTGCTGTACGAGAGGCAACATACGCTTTAAAGTGCAACGAACTCCTCCTGCACACTGTTTAATTTCCGCCATGATCTCTTCGACCCGAGCCTTCGTTTCTGAAGTAATAAATAAAAGCCTAATTGTGAAGCTGTGAGCTACGAGATCATTTCCCATTCATTGATTAAAATTCATCAAGTGAAAAAAGATGTAGAAACAACTTTACGCAAAGAAAGTAATAAATGGGATCTTTAGGAATGTTTTCGCGCTCATATAAACACTATTACTGATCTAGAAACTGCTAACCTCGACTAAATGGTGCATATGTGGTGTTCAGTTGCTGAGAGAATGGTGATTTATGCGCATATTTTGCGATAAATCAAAGTGCATTTACATAGTAAAGAATAAAAAACACAGCTTACTGACAAAACAATTTAGCTAATAAGCTAAAGAAAAAAAGCCTTTTCATGATTTTACAAAGTTTATTAACACCTGCCTTTATTTACAATTCCATGTCTACTTAAAAATGTTGATTTTCAACAATAGATCTTCCCAGTGAATTGGTTTTATTCACCATTTATGCTTTACCATAAGAGATATGTTTGATACACACAAAAACACGAAATCACTTTAGAAATTTACCGATAACATAAAACAACGAAAATAATTTTTGCAGAGAGCCAAACCAACAATGTGGATAAATTGTAAGCCAGATGCCCAAATAGAAGACAATTTTGTCCAACTTAGAACAAGTGAAACAGCTTAAGCGATTACAAGAAACAACTCAGCGTAAAATTTATTTGGAGCAAAATTATAAAAATTACAACCTTTCAAACTTCAGGATACATATATTTCACGCACTACTTTGCCATAAAAACTCGAGAAAAAAAGCATAAAACTAACAAATTTTGAAATAAACTTCCCAACGACTGGTTTAGGCAAAAAGATGCCTTTATCATAGGACAGTATCAAGATCGAAAGCCATACGAAGAAATATTATCGAAACTATTTTCAAACAACGCGATCCCAGTGACATACTCACTTTCATCTTGGTTCGGAGCCGCAAGTATTTCGCTGTGTTTCTGCTTAATTTCTGTAACAAGAATAGCGATTTTGTCGATTTCACCACGAATTTGCTCGACTTGACTAAAAAAGGCGGATAAATAGCTGCCGTCCTCGAAACTGTCGCTCGAGGCATGATTGTTATATCCGTTTTCCTAGACAGATATAAACAGCGACTTATATTATACCTCTTTTAAAGCGGCTAAAAGATCTTTCGGCATCCTGAATAGACAATGGTAGTCCAAACACTCGTTTTCGCGTGAAATGACCTAGGCTTACTTCTTCGCTCACATTGACCTTAAACGTTATCAGTTCAATTAAAGAGAGTAAAGTGCTCATGTATTTTTAAGCAAACCTAAAGTCTTTGTTTTTCGTAAGTATTTTCTAAAATTTGTGTTAATATTAGTTAAGTTGCAACAGCCTTTATCAAAGCTAATGGCACACACATTAAATAAATTTTAGATGAACTTTGGAATATATTACTTTTAAAAACTTTAATTGCTTACTTAAAGACTGCTTGTTTTAATGCCTCAGCTGCCCAAAATTAGTAAATCGGAATGGCTTTTCAACGAATAATTTCTATTTCGGATAGTAAGTCGTTATTATTATTATTTTCTGTAGTTTCCAACGCTTCCTACATCCCTGGCAACAGCTTATCTTGTAGTTGCTTCAAATGTAATATGGGTTTGTTTTTCTTGCCTTGAACTACTTTTTAGGACTGTCGGACCCGTATGAGCATTTTACTGAAAGGTACTGTCTTTTATTTAATTCATCGGTTTTTTCAGCTCTTGCTGTAGTCCCCTTATTTTGCCTTCGACAATCTTTAATGGGTTATTTCATTTAACACTAATTGGCAAGTTGGACGGATCCATAATCGTTCACGAACACGTAAGCTGCTCAACGTGTGCCTTGATTATTTTTCCAGTCAACGGATGTGAGATTTACACTTAGGATTCGTTTCACTTCAGTGAAGTATCTGGGCTTTGATTCTCACTATAAAATCGTAATTGTTCATCTCATACGTTGCATTCTAGATCCTATGTTTATACAACGATTGTATTGTCACTGTACCTCTTAAAACTTTTAAACTCATTGTCGCCGAAATCTTAACTGGGAAGGGTAAGCGCTCAGTACTTTTGGTTTTTATAGGTTGTTTGTCAGGGGATGTCGACTTGACCGTGGACCTCTCAGTCGTTGTCCATTATAACCCTAGTTATGTGAATGATCCATCCACTGTGCAATGTATATGTATGTCCTAATTTTGTTTACCTTAAATCCAAAAATTTAGATAGATCAACGGGTTTTTTTGATTTTATTGTTGAAAATTCGATTTCACTGAGCTGTGATAGATACGACCCGGCCACAATGCTCCAATCGGCCTATTTTGCAGTTGACACAAATGTTCCCTACATTTCTTTTTTCCAAAGTTTCTCTAGGGTACTTTATTTCTTTGGAGATTTTCTATTTTGAGTTTAGCGGAGTTTATCTGTCATGCCAAAGGGGTATCATCAAGTGAAGGAGAAAATGAAGGACATTGCATCGCAGTTGGGAAGGTAAGCGCGCTATTTGTTCAGTAGATTCTCATTTTTAATAGTCGAACAAGACCCTTTTGGACCGAGTCTGAGAATGGACCGTGCTACGTGTGGCCTGGAAATCCCAACTGGACCCTTAAAAAGCTCTATAGTCTCGCCGACATGAGTCGCGGCGCTCTTAGGGGCACCTTTTCTGTCTCCTCCGATCATCGATTTGGCGCAATTACAGACGATCAGTCACGTATTACTCTTGTAGACCTTCATCGCGGTGTTGCTCTACGATTTTGGAAGGGTAATTTTTGAAGGTAACTCTCATCCGTGCTCTACCTAGGCTGCAAGGAGGCACAGACTTGCTTCGTCGACGTCAGCGAACGCTTTCCACCCGCTGGTCGTCTGCCACGAACTGCTAAATTTATACTCATTCACCTACCTCGTTCCAACAACCTTGAAGTTTGGTCGCTAGTCCACGGACCACTGTTAAAGTGCTGGTCGACTAACGGGTCCCTACGTTTCCTTCTTCCGCATATGGGTGCCCTCAGTCGATCTCTCAAACAGTAACGTGTCTCCCCTCTTATTACTCGCCTTTTTTGCAGTTTTAACGCTCTCTGTGTTGTGGGGAATGAACATCTGGTTGGGATTCGTCTGAATCTTGATTTGTGGTTTCCACATACGCCTGAGGCTGGAGATTTTGAGACATTTTCTCGGCTTCGGGGATGGATTTGCTCGAGGGCGTTTAAGGCCTCCTTGAAGTCTAGTAGGTTCTGCAATTGTATCACTTTTCCATTTTATCAGATTTTGCAGCCTCTATTACCAAACTGGAAGGCCTTCTTGGAGATTTCACCCTACCTGATTGGTTCCTCAAGGCCGTGTGGATTCTCCTCCGTACCGAATTGATCGACTTAAGCACATGGGTTGCGGAGAAACTTGTGGATCTAGGTAGGATAGTTGATCTCTTCTCTTATTTCTACTCTATTTCTATAGGGAATTCATTTCCCTTTGAAGAACCGAAGAAGCACGCGTTTCAGAAACATTTGGAAAAAATTTGTAGCCTTATCCACTTTTACCATAGTCTTTCAAGGATGCACAAGGCGCAAAGTAAGAACCAATGCGTGCATTCCCACGAATTCAAAAATCAGCTTATTGAGGTAATCGGTGTTATTTCTCCATGCGGATTTTCCCGTTTCAGCCAGTGGCTCATTTTTTTCCCGTATGTGGAAAGGCGACGAATTTGCCTAAGTTTCTCCAACCATGGACGTTTTTTCGTGCCGCGGCACACTCTCGTCTCTTTTGGATTTCTTTCGACAAACGTCATCAGGACAAAACTGCAGCTCATGAGACTCTGTTAGGTGCGTCAGCATTGGCTATTGCTATGGTTATAAAAATCACGCTGCTCTTATTGTTTATTAGGTGTATAAGTCTATTTTTTTCGGAACTTTTTCTTGGCTAACTGTATCAGCAGCAAATATACGGGGGGTCGAAATTTTTGCACTTCTGTTTGATTCTTCCTGAGAATGGGAAGATACAAATATCCGTCGTCGTTAAACGGTGGGAGCATTCACCAAGGCTATCCGTTCATCTACCGGAAGCCATTTGCCCTGAGTTTTATGGGGCACATATGCCATTCAAAATACCGATGAAGTGTGAAAATGTGGATAAGTGTATGTGTAACATCAAGAACACCACTTATTTTAGGGAGGGGATTTCAAGATAATGACACCAAAGGTTTTGTGTGATTTTCTGTAAATCTTGCTGCAATAGCCTTTTGGAATGCATCAGGTGTTTTGGTTGCACGCATTATGAAGCATGGATACGGACACTCAAGTCCGTTGATACGGTACTCTTTATTTTACTCTGCATTATTTTCCTGCTTCTTTGATCTCTCACTTCATAAGGTGGAAGCTGAGCCCGTTAACTGTTATTCAAGCTTGTTCATCCGCCCAAACCTTAACCACCCCATTTTCTATCTCACCTTTATCTACTACCTCTCCGTAAAGTAGAGGTAGTAGATAAAGTATCAAAATGGTGTGCAACGGCCGCTACATCATTCCTGTATGTTGATCCCGATATAACGAAATGTCAGTTGAATTTGCTGCCTGTGGTTTGAGCTTGTCCCCTTCACAACTGAGCTAATGTATGCAGTGAAGAGAAAAGGGGAGGTTTTTCATGTGATTTTCCGTTTAGCAATTGGATAAAGTCTAAAATTTGGCAGTAGATCGTACTTGATAATGATGATGCATCACTTTCAGGGAATGTACTGCGTTTCGTAACTGTAAAGGGAATTACGCTAAGTCGTTTCTGACTTTACTTACTTGTGGTGGGAATGGCTTTTGTTTGTATTTCAACGCCAAAAGGACGTAAAAGTCAGTGATTCGCCTTAACCCAACCCTCACTGCCTACATCACACTGCTCACGAGTGCATGTATGTGGGTGTCTGGTGGACTATGGATGATCTTGTCTGGTTGCGGAAGATAAGTAATAATAGCAATGGAAACATTGCTTTCCTTATCACTGTCATACTAACCAGATGTGCTGACATTGGTGATGAGGGTGACGCAGACGAAGGGGAGGAGCAAGAGGGGAAGAAAGTAAAAGAGACGGCTCTTTTACTGAAAAAAGCTGGCATGTGAAATGGTGGAAGTTATTGTCTCACCTCGTCCTCCGTAATTCTCCAGCTGCTCTTTCTCCATCTGATGATTGCCACCCCATCAGTGCCTACTACTATTATTAAAATGCATAACAAATGGATTTGTTAAAGAGAGTAGGCAGTTGGGCGAAAAGGTGGAATTAAAGTGGCTATAAGGTAACTAAGTTGAGCCGGGTTGTTTGGTCGGGGAGACGAATTCTTTCATTAAAGCGAAATTTGCAGCGTCAGGTTGTTTGGCTGAATTTTGGTTCATCGACCAAAACTGGGTGACAGAAACCAATTCGGCCGAAGGTGAAGTGGTGGATTGCATTGGGTGATTTCCCTTCCAATTTCAACTCTTACCACCATTACCCAAATATTCATCTCTATATTAGTCAGACTGAATATCCGTCGCTTTGCCTGCCTAATTATCCGATGACTCGGTTGTGACAATCCTCCATTCACTCAATGGTCCAAATATTGCCACATGCAACCACTCCATCGCACCGCCATCTGCACTACATCCAGAAGTGACAAAATAGAGTGGAACAACAAGCAATCATATTTATCTACAAATATCCACCTATACAGTCAATTGGGTAGGTAATCAAATAGTCGGATGGAACGGGTTTGAAACAGCAACAAAACAAACTCCTCAGACGTCTTCGCAAACGCTTGTGCCACCAAAGTAAAAGCAATTGGTCATCAGCAAGCTGATTATGGAGAAGTATATAAAGATCATTTGCAAACATGTATGCAATCCACCGTGGACTGCGATTTGGATGGCGCCCGTTGCACTGGTGCCCCCTCGCCTGTATTCCACCTGTCCTTGTTGGCGGAGGACAAGCTCGTTGTGGAATCTACGCCGCCTGGAGACCTGTACC